CTGCCCTACTTCCCTCCCTCTCTCAGTCTCTCTTTCGCTCTCTTCTCCCCAGCCCAAGACACGGACCCGCACCTTAGGTAGATCTGTCCTCCCCTCTCTCTGTTTTCTCTCCCTTACCCCCTATCCCTCTCGTCTATTCACGGACCCACTCCATAGGCAAGTATGCCCTTCCCTCACTCTCTTAACTATATCTTCTCTCCTCTTGCTCTCCACCTCTATATTCCCTACTCTCTACCTCACATCTCCCATTGGCCCTATCTCCTCACGCAACATACACTCATGTCCCCCCTATCTCCTCACGCACCTCACATCTCCCATCCGCACTATCGCTTGCACCTTCCTATACACCCCTCTCCCTTAAACACTCCCATCAACCTCTCTCTCTTAAAAACTCCTATCTGCCCCTCTTTCTTAAACACTCCTATCTACCCCTCTCTCTCTTAAAAACTCCAACTGCCCCTCTTTCTTAAACACTCCTATCTACCTCTCTCTCTCTTAGCACCTCTATCCGCCCATCTCCCTTAAATACTCTCATCTGCCCCTCTCTCTTAACATCTTCATCCGCCCCTCTCTTTTAGCACCTCTATTCGCCCTTCTCATCTAACCCCTATACGCTCCTCTCTCATATTTTCATCCAGCCTATCTCTTCTATATGTTCATCTCTCCTTTGGGTTTGGATTGCACCATAGGTGGGTCCATCATCCTTTGATTCCATTCATCCCACTTCATCTCACCTTAAGCATTTCTTTCTCCCTCTAAGTCATATTTCAACTTCTCATTTATTTTACTTCATTTTAACTTTATCAATCTATTATTTCTCTCTTTAACTCATTGTTTCTTTCACCTCTTGAGTACTTGATTTGGGTCATCTTGAGGTAGTGCCCTAAGGTTCTACCTCTCGGATTGTTACTCTAACCATCAGCTCATACAATGAAGTTGGGTCATAAAAGATACTGATTCTCTTACACTCGGTCACTAGGGTTGGGGTCATCTTGAGTTAGTTTTCTTTAGAGTTTTGACCATTTCACTACTCTAACCATCAAGCCACATAGTGCTTGGGTTATAAGGGACCTTCATCTCTCTTTTCTCTCTCTCTCATTTTCTTCTCTCCTTTGATCACATTTAATGGGCTCTTTGGTTTAGTGACATAGTTATAGACTTAGTCCTGTAACTCCACTTTCCAAATCCTTTGAGTATCAAGTCTTCAAGCCTAGTACTTTTCTAATCTTGTAACTCTACTTTTCAATTTTTCCGAGTACCAAGGCTTCAAGCCTGGTACCTCCGGTAATACCTCTTAGGAGAGGTTACGTCGGGAGGCTGCCCGATTTTGTCTCTTCACTTCTTCTTCTCTTTTATAAACTAAATTTTCATTCATCCATTCACATTATCTTCTTTCTTCCGTCTCTTTCTTACTTCTTTAATCACTCTACCCCCAAAACTAAAGCCACTCACCCCATATAAACGTATATTAGGGAGGAGTACATCACATTTTGATTTCATAAGCTGATTTCAAAAAAGAGTCCAGACAAAGTGTTGAGTTTCGAGAGAGGGTGCTTCATCCAAACCGCGCTACTGGATAGTCGAAGGGCTTCGTTCATTGATCTAAGAGGGCAATAGTCCGGGCTTATCCCACAAACTCGCAACCGCGGTGAGGTAGATGCTGGAGTCCATCTCTTTATCTGTCACACCCCAAGAATTTACAATACAGATATTCTTGAGATGTGACAGTCAAAACATATATACATCTCTTGATAGGACAAATTTATAGTGGTGGGTTCTTACAAAGTAACAAAAAAAAGCTAGCAC